GTGCTCAGAGCGGCCCCGCTGCTGGCTGGCCTGGTCAGGGGGAGTGGACAATGCTCCCGTGTCCGCCCCACGGTCCCCCTGGCGGACCAGTTCCCTCTGTGTCTGTCCGTCTGTGCGGCCTCCAGCCTCAGGACCCCCCACCGTGACCTCAGAACAACCCCGTCCCGCCTGCCGCTCCCACACTCGGGTGGGCTGGTCCCGTGGCCGAAAGCAGTTGACACAGACCAGGGGCCCTCGGGGGCAGGTCAGCTGTGACGGAGGGGCCTGGGGACTAATGACCCCCCGCCCCGCCCGCCCATGGGGGTGTTGTCACAGCTGCGCTGCCTCCTCCCGCCACCCCTCCCCCGTGCAGGTCATGCGGTTGGAACACCTCCCAGGAGGGGGCTTCTCACTTCCTGCCACAGCTCCTGGTTCCTCATTCGGAGGAAGGCAGGGGTCAGGGGTGAGACTGCGGCCTCTGTCGCTGCCTGGGCACAGAGGTGGGCAGCAGCCTGTGCCCGGGCGCGGTTCCCGGGTGCCAGCCCAGGTCCAGGCCCTGGGAAGCGGGAGCCCACGCAGGGGGAGTGGGGCGCCGGTACGGCCGTGGTCACTGGGGCCTGTGGATCAGCCAGAGCAGAGAGGGGCGAGGCGTGGCCGTGTGAGACGAGGAGCTCCCAGTGGGATCCCCAGAGGCTGCTCTGGAGGAGCTGAGGCCAGAGGGCTTTGAAGGATGAGTAGGAGTTTGCCAGGTGAGCAGAGAAGGAAGGTGGCTCGGGGACGAAGCGTCCTGAGCAGGAGAGCGGACAGGACAGAGGCAGGGGCTGTTCTATTTTGGGGAGCGGAGCCCGCTTCCCTGAGCGCCCCCTCTTCCTGCGGTTCTGACTCTGCCTCGAGGGCCCAGCGCCATGAAGGCGAGCCTTTGAGCGAGGAGGGCAGTGCTGCCCAGGGCCAGCCATCTGGGTCCCCAGCCCCAGCTCTGGCTCCCTTAGCAAGTGTCATGGTGGCCTGGGTGGTTGCTCAGTGGTTAGAGCTGCAGCCCGCACACCGAGGGTCGTGAGTTCGATTCCCAGTCAAGGGCATGGACCTGGGTAGCAGGTCCGATCCCCTCCCCTAGTCGGGGCGTGTGGGAGAGGCACCCAGTTAGTGTGTCTCTGTCACATCGACGTTTCTCCCTCTTTCTCCCTCTCTCCCTCTCCCCCTCTCTCTCTCCTCCTCTACCCCTCCTCTCTCTCCCCTCCCACTCTCTGAAAGTCAGTGGGAAAATACCCTCACTCCTGGGTGAGGATCAGAGAGAAGGAGGGTCCCGCACAGGGCGGCCGTCCAGGCGGACGCCACGCTCTCACCTTCCTTCTTAAAGAGCAAGTGCTCCGTGTCCGTGGGAACTGAGAGCCAAGGCTGCTGCCTCCTGGCTCTACACCCGCTCGAAGTCCTTCACCAGTTAAAACGCCGCCGAGCCCCGCCCCCACGTGGGGTCGTGCGTGGTGCTGAGCGCACACTCGTTGGTGAAACATGGAGCGTCTGGCGCC